ATAATGTCTATCCGCTCGTTTTCAATCACAGTTAATAGTTCACTTCTTTTATTCAAAACGGAGTCCGAGTTCGTGTAAAAACATTTTAAAGCTTTTTGTGCACTTTCACTTTGATTCATGCGTTTATTTCTTACATTATTTACAGGTCTGGTTCTATGGACATGACTTCTTACTTGTCTTCCAGCTCCGCTGAATGACCGTGTGCGGTCGGTGCTGTCTTGACATCGTGAAAGTGGTTGACCCGAGTCTCCATGCTTTTCCGTCTGAGTCTCTCCTGCCATTTCTTGCGAAAATTTTCTCTCTCTAAAGGGGTAGCATCCTTCTTATTATATTATGCCTTGATGCTAATCAGTAGGCCGGACCAGGGCCTATACTTTCAAAAAAGTTAAGAGATCGTAAGTTCATCGGCCAATCATTGACGGCATATCGAGCAAAATCCACCAATCACAGACAAGGAAATAGAGCGTAAGTACTTACGTTCACTTAACGAGTTTTGAAAGTATGGCCCCAGGCTTCGCTAAAGGTGTCGCGCGCGAGGAAATTATGAATATTGAGCATTTGTTTAGTCGTCCTTCGTGCATAGAGGGAAAGGGGAAGTCAATGAAATACAAACGGTGTATAGTTTTATTTTGGGTAAATTTCGTTTCTACTATAAAATTTCTTGGTAGTCAAGTGATTGAGTTACTTCACTTCACAACCGTTATGTTGCTGTCCTAGTGTTTTCATGCCAATGCTGATGAAGCCAAGAGAATAGCAACACTAAATAAAAAACAGTAACGTTCAGATCTTCAAACGCGACAACAATAAACAAACCGTATAAAATCTTCAACAATAATTATCAAACAATTTTAAACAGTCCATCGGTAGTTTCATTTTCTGAAATCCATTTCATTGTTCAGCTTTCTTTTTTCGTGTTCTCAGCCTCGCTGTTATGCCTTCTTCTTCGGAAATCTAAACTGCTCCCAAGTTGACCGTGTTGTAGCCCACTTGCCAACTTAAAACGATCACTCAAGCTGAACGTATCGTGAAGGCCAATATCCGCATGACCATCAAAATTCTCTCTAAAAGGAGACCTTAAATGTCCAATGCCTTTCCCAGGCGTTATTAGGCCATCTCCTTGTGGCTTCGCATCTTCGAGACCGAACGAATCGATTTTAGTTCTTTCCAAAGCAAAGTCCCCGGATAGTTGGTGCTTTAACCCACCAAAGCCTGAAGCTCCTAAGGAAAGACCGTGGCCAAGCGAACCTGCATGTGAGCCAGAGCCTCCTGAGCCGATTCCTGTAGCAAAGGCCTTTGCTCCCAAGCCATGAACGCCTCCAAGCTTAGAGCCATCGAATCCAAATTGGGAGCTCAAGCCATCTGTAAACTTCAATTGGTCTTTACCAAGTTCACCTACATGTTCAGTTCCAAGACCAAAGTTGCTTCCGAACCTTCCTCCCAGTTGGCTTTTCAATCCATCCCCAAGTTTCAAATCACCACCCAAATGAGCACCAAGGGCGGAATTTTTCAAATCGTCGCCGATTCCTAAGCCTCCACCGAACTGCAGGGACTCTTCTAGGCCAACTAAACTACCGTGGTCAGACCCGCCCTCTAGACCTCCGAACTGCAACTCGCTGGCGAGATCACCAGTCTTCAGACCACCATGTAGTGGCGTCGTCCCATGACCGACATCGAGAGGCAGATGCTCGGTGAAACTAAGGCCAGCGTGACTCAGATCGTCCTTCAATCCAAGAGATCCCGTTCCAAATTTAAGATCATCACTGAAACCAATCCCACCCACACCTGGTTTGGATTTCGGTCCGATGCCAAGACCGGTACCAATTTTTAAATCATGGCCAACGTCGTATCCAGATCCTCCGAAACCTCCATAGGTTTCGTAGCCTTCGTAAATTGGTTTATGGACGACCGGTTTCTCGATGTACTTGGTTTGGTACAATACTTTAGTTTTGTAAATTACCTTAGTTTTGTGTACAGGCTGTATTTCAGTTTCAGTAATGTACTGCGGCTGATAGCGTGTCTCATATTGAGTCACATACGCTGTCTTAGTGATGTACTCGGGCTTGTATATAGTTTCTGTTAAGTAAACGCTTTCGTAGTCTGTTTTGAATATGGTTTTATAAGCTACTTCAGTGATGTGTTTGTTGATGAATTTAGTCTCTGTTATGTATTGTGGTATGTATTCGGGAACAACTTTCGTGTCGTATTCAGTTTTGTATATTGTTTCGTAATACGTCGTGGGGATGTATTGAGGCTTGAATACAGTTGAGTATACCGGCACCTGTAATGTGAATGAGTTCATAGAGCATTAATTAATGTTTCATTAAAGATTAATATTTAAGCAGATTTCTAACTTGAATCGTAATTCATATTATTCTTCCCACCCCAACGGGCTGAACAATTATTCCTCAACTTAATTCTTGTGTGTGGTCAAATTTGTCTTATTAATTCGACAACGAACTGGAACATTCCAATTAAAATCTTCTACATACATTAAGTAAATTGTTTCTACATTATAAAATAATTTTACTGGGTCACGCATGCTGCTCAATTCGTGTATCGACTGCATTACCCAAATTCTTCTGTAATAAAAAATGCAATATTTTGCCTAAGGGACCTTAGCATTAATTGTCATCATTGAGCCACACCCCATCATATTTGAAATGTTAAATTAGAACATTTATTCAGCCAAGCATCGTTCTACTAAGAAAAGGTTCATATCAACGATTATATGTTCCGCAAAAATATACTATTACTATAAATATGCCAATACTAAAGTATAAATACTAATATTTACTGTTATCGAAAAAGTTCTCAGTAAATTCTCAAGAGTAGGCCTTGCACTTAATACTAAATGGCAAGCTTTTATCTCACACTTTATGTATTTGATGAGCTAAATTATAAGCTCTTTGTCTTCGATCCTTATCTCATCAACGCATATTTGATCATTATGAATTTTGAACGCAAAAATATTGCTTCACGTTTGTCTATTATCCATATGCTATTCAATATTTTATGGATAAATGGAAGAAAACAGAATTTAAGATGAAACCTTGAAGACAATTACGGATTCCGGAAAAAACTACGTATGTTTTTTTTTTTAAATCGAACAAGATCTTCAAATTAAAGCACAGTTGTTCTCGGAAAATAATCTTTATGAATGTCAATGTGTTCTGGAAAAAATTATGTACGTTTAATTGTAGATCTTAAAATTAACGTACAGTTGTTCTCGAAAAATAATCGTTATTTTAATCTTTATGTCTCTGTCTATATTTTGAGCAATGTGTTCGTCAAAATCGTTATATGTTATTATAGATTTACCTTCTCGTAGTTGGTCTTGAAGATCGTCTCGTATACGGTCTTGGGGTAGCATGGGGCTGGCTCGTGTACGGGAGCCCCGTATGCAGCTTCTGGGGGACCGTACGCGGGGTTGGGGGGTCCGTATAGGGGGTTGAAGTGAGGGTCCACGTGGGTGACGTGTGGGGGGCCATAGAATTCCCCAAGGACTGAGGCTGAAGCCAACAGGAGCACCAGGAAAATTCGTAACATCTGTAAAAAAATATGCTGCTATTAATATTAATAATATATATAATAATATATATAATTGTTAATAAAATTAATTAATATATATATACGATAGCTAGTATATAGTAGTCTGTTTTGAATAGTCTCTTTTGCCTTAACTTGCTAAAATTTAATAAATTTCCCTAAGAAGTGGCGTAGTTGCACAAGTAAGGTTAAAAGTACAATAACTAAAAGGATTCATCAAATACCGTAATACGTCCTAAAAAGTAACATTCCACAATAACAATATATGTAATGTACGAAGAGTTTGCAAACTGCAAAATAATAACAGTAAGATATATTCCATGAGTAGTTCAACCTCCAAGTTGAATGTATCTATTAATCGTAAATTGTACCCAACTCAGGTCGAAATGGGCAAAGCCTTAAATTCTCAGTAAAAATGTTATCCGCTACTTTAATTAATTATCCACAACTTAACATTTGAATTAATGTTTCAATATGAAACGTTTCAATTTTCTATATTATTTGAAATTTACTCTATCTCTACAAAATTCGATTCGAATCACGGGATATTTAATGTATCTTCGTAATGTATACGAGTAAATACATTATGACGATAATCACTGTGCAACAAAATTTTTGCTTCTCGTATGAAATTACCTGTATCTGATGTGTTTTTTTTAGCGCTGATTCCATGTATGCCCTTGAAATTTTTCTAATACGTCAGGTTTTCGAGTTATGTTTGTGAAAATATTTTATGCATATAACTTCAGGGTCAGCCTCCTAAAGTGAAAGTATAATCAAAATAAGGATTGCCTTGTAAAAGTGTGTTGTGTATTGGTTGTTTTAAATACACTTTTATTGTATAATAACGGCTGAGATTATATTTTTTAGTGTTTGTACCATTGCTATTGAATTTTCTGAAACTTTTTTACAATTTCATTCCAGAAAAGTTTGGTCGTGATAAATCTAGGCTATTAATTAAGCACTAATTTGATTTTTTAATTTCAATTAAGCAGTAATTGTTTGAATTGAATCGTCGAAATTGTAACAACAACCCTGACAATTTCTGTTACATTTGTGGCAAATTCACCCCAAAAGATCAGAGAAAAAATCTGGCCTCCGAGGTGAAGATAGCATACAGGCACTATTTTGGCTGTCAAATTGGGGACCAGGATAAGAATTGGGCACCTCATATCTGCTGCTCTAACTGCTATGTCAGTTTAACACAATGGTTAAGCTCAAAAAGAAAGAGTATGCCATTTGCTGTTACAATGATCTGGATTTTTCCCTTGCTTTTTCCCACTTGGGAAATGCTTTTTTCCCACTTGGATTTTTTCCCTGAAAACCTTGGGGATAAAAGTGATGAACATGGTGAGCGTTTTCACCAAGATATTTCGCTTTTGGAAAGTCGGTATCAAGGTCGATTTAATCCAAGTATGATGGGAGACTATTGTTGGTTGCTACAAATTTGAGGAAGAATCTACTCACCGTCGCAAATCAAGAGGGAAAAAACATTTCTAAAATAAATATCATAGCAATTAAGTGAGATTTCTTTTAAAACTGTCTTGATTAACAATTTTTAATATCTTGAGAACATAAATAAGATGTCTTAAATGTATAATCCAATATTATTTATTTATGTTCAGTTTACCAAATGTTGCATTTTTATGAATTTCATCGAGATTATTTTTTGAATATCTCGAAAACTATACGTGCTAGAGTACTTCTGTTTGCAGATTTGAAATCAGTGACCTCGATTCCTTTAGAAAAAGGTATTTTGGTTTGAGTTATGAAAAAAAATTTCTTGTTGCATAGTGTAATGATGTGTTATTGATGTTTTATGAGGATTAATAATGTATTCATAATGCATTAATACATGCCTTTGATATATCTTTAAATTAATGACCGGTGATACAAACTTCGTTCCCATAAATAAAGAAATATTATCACCGCATTAACTACTGATTTACTCAATATCTTAAAATACATTTAATATGAAATAAAGTGAATAATAATTGCTTTTAATTATTCCATATTTTAAAGTGTATATTTAGGGTAGAGCCCTTCATTTAAACATGTATGGTTAAAAATAATGCCAGTTTTATTGAGAATATCTTTTGAGTTTAATCTCTCAAGCTTTCTGATAAGAGGTACAGTAATAGGTCCAATGTGTCTTAAAATTTTTCCAAATGAATTTTTAACCAAACATTTTAAAGTGTGTAAATTATAATCGAAATTCATAAAATGTGGACATAAGGCTCTCCGCCAGCAATCAAGTTGTGGCCCTTCAAAGAAAACGTTTGAAAATGTTTTTTTTTAATTAATTAGGTAATTAACATGCATACCTAATTGGGTGATAAATATTGTAAAGGAGTAATTGATAGAAATGATAAACCATTTGTAATGTTTTAATTTGAGTAGTTGCATGATTGTTAGGTATTCAAGGCACTCAATATATCGCCAGCATCCGAATACTAGAACTCGTTCTATAAATAAAAACCTTTCATCCACTCCCGCGAGAATCCCTCTCATTTTACATTTTTACTGTAAAGTGCCGATGAAATCAAATTAGCGCCGTCCCTCGCACGATTTTCACCCTCGTTTTTCTCCCTCTGGACATAAGTTGAAGCTTCCTTTGACCTGTCGAGTCCAGGTGCGAGTTTTACCACCGGCTGTACACGCTCGAATGCGCTCGTTGCAGAGTTTTAAAATGTTTCATTTCACTATAACCTTGATTGATTTATATTAAGTTATCAAATGCACATTTATAAATGTCATGTATGTTAATTATTTCGCGTCTACAGCACGCAACTCAGTTGGCAAGTAGGAGGATTTTTTAAATTAAATAGATTTTTAATTGATTATTTAAATGGCTTCTTAAATTTTTTTGACAAGTTCTGTGGAATCAATATTAGGTAATAATTTATATACGTAATATAATAATATATAATAACATATGCATGAAATAATATTATTAGTATATCAATAGAATTTAATTATTATTGTTACAGAACTAACATTAAATTACGCATAGAGAGAAGTTATAATGAACACGTACGTACTTAATTGTATTCAGTTGAGATTAATCATAACTGATCATGAATTTGCGACCGCAGATAACGATTTCACTCTTTTTCGAGCCAAACTATAATATTAATGGTTATAAAAGCTTTGATTGCGTGTTCAAGCAGATTTTAAAATCTCTTGCTGTCATAAAGTCTCGCTAAGCGATGTGAAATTTTTATTTTATTTTTTTAATTATGTTATTATATTTATATTTTACGAAATTCAGAAATTAATGAGGGGGCCGAAATTTTAGTTCTAGTGGTGGCCTCCTAGCAGCCAAACTCGCGAATTTACTGAACTCAACATATTGCTTTTCAATACTAAAGTGGGAGTTGACAATTGAACGTAAATATGTGTAAATTGAAAGCTGAACGATTACGTGTTCCGGTAAGAAATGACCGAATTTACTGGGCGCTATAATTGTTCGCGTCGCCAACGATTTCCGTATTTGAACATGATCATCATCATGTCCAACGATTGTTAACTGAAATATTAACAGCACGGGTGGAGGGTGTGCGATGTATGTGTCGTATACGACGAGTTACTAGTTTTTTTGTGCTCTTGAAATTCTTGCTTGGAGCCACCCATAACAATTGTGAAATATCGTATCTCACCACATGCTAGCCAACATTTAATCTACAAGCTAAACTGACCTAAAACCTTCAACATATGATCAGTTGTAACCTTTACACGAGTTAATCACCTTCTTTTTCTGTAGTTTACATACAAACGAAGAAGGGAATGAACATAGGACTTGGTTTGGAACAGGTCGAGCGTGCCAGCAGGCATGAAAGTGAACTCGAAGAGAGACTTGCTCTATTGTTATTTTTTTGCTCTCAGCTCCGTCTTATCCAACGGTATTTTTTCACGAACGAATGCATCGAGAGTATTTTTCCCGGTGAATAAAATTTTCAAATTGAGCAGTACCTATATATAAATTTCGATTGAGACTGGAATGCAGAATTAAATGCAAAATGATACATTCGACATTCGCTGACGATTCGAATAGAATTTAATTGAAGCTTAAATGTACCTTACAGTAATAATTTCTCTTCAATATATTGATAAAATTTGTACTTTGATTGATCGAATTTTTAGAAAAGAGCTCCTGGCAAGTTTCCCACGAAATTTATTATAACAGTTGATCAATGCATGTTCCGTAAATAATATTCACATTCTTTTCACGAAAATCTTGGGTTCAGCATATAGCTATAGCTATAATGCAGATCTAAACTGCGAATGAAGTAGAAAATATTTTCAAAATGCCGTTCAATGGTTAATTTCATATACCAAAACCATTTGGCGTTGGTTAAAAAAATAACGATGATAAGATTTTTGAAACGAATATTCTTCTTAATCTGGATCTATTAAAAAAAATATAAAAGGATTGGAGGAGAATGACACTTTCCGTTTCACCATACGCCATCTATGCCATAGGTTCATCGGCATGTACTTTTCATGCCTGAAGGAAATCACAAGCATTCAGTCAACCCGATAAACGAGCGATTTGAACCACTAATTAGATTAGTGTTGTTGACACGAGAGGTATAGCTTTTTAACTTCACTGAAGAGCTTCCAGTCATTCCTATGAGTGAAAGTGCATCCTGAATGCACTGAATGCACCATACCTCGCAAGGGACCATACCTCCCTAGGCGCCTACATTCCCATATCGAGGCAGGAGGAATTCTGTGACCAGCGCCCGCTATGCCTTGGTTGTTAAATACCATAGCAATTAAGCGAGGTAAACATAGGAATTTTTATTCAGACATAGGGTGGCAAATGAATAAAATCTTCAACGGCACTCATTTACATGGATTCTTATTTGACTTATATTGTTTGAAGTTTCTGACCATCAAAACGAAGTATTTCTAAGTTAAATTTAATTAATTAATGGCTGAATTATAACGCATTGCGACGATCATCGTTCCTTAAGCAATATAAGGGATAATTTCCTCTTGTCTTCCTCGGTAAAAAATGAGAGGGTGAGCAACCTGTCCCACCATTTTAGGAAGGATATTTTGCCAAAGGCTACGCGTTGACATCACATTCATGCGACGATTGACATGCCTTTAATTCCTACGACAGTCGCGGTGCTCGCATTTTAGTCTCGTAGAATAGTTGTCAGCGCTTCCATGTTGGTCTGAATTTCACTGAGGTTGCTGTAAAATAAAATTAATACAGCAAGACGGAACTGAGTCTTTCTGTTAACTAATATTAAACGTCTAGAAATTTATCCGTCGTTGGAATGCCTCGTAAATAATACATGTAAACTGTCAGTGCCTGTATATATTTATGAATAATTTAGGCAAGGTAAGTTTTTAATTTTTTTAGTTCCTACCTTAAAAACGATTGTCCTATCATTCATACTGATATATTGTCATAAAATCATAGAATGACCATGAAAAATTTTTCAGAATTGCTTTCATTTAAGTCTAAAAAAATCTTCCTTCAATGCAAAAGATGCAAAATTTCACAGTCTTTGAACCGATCCGTGAAGCGTCAACGAAGTTTTATCCTTTATTCCCCAGGCTACGTCGAATCTCGTTCCTTTTGCTGTTCAGTTTGCCTCGGAAGTTCAATCCGAATTTTTCGCTTTCCTTTGAAATGCGCCGACTCTCCTCATCGGTGATTTAAAAACAAAAAGATCCATCAATCGGTGTGGTAATGAGATGTCCGTCAAGTTCTCAGTGACTTTGAAGTACGAATTAATTTCTTTGGAATTACTGGTAACAAAGCCGATAATATTTTGAGACGCTATATGATGATAGAACGTTTGATTTTGGTTTCACTTATAATTAAGCGGACTGTACAAAAAAAAAAAACAGAGCGCGCGATATTAACGAAAAATAAGTGGAACGGGCTCTAATTTTCTCGACAGTTACTGAACTTATTAGGATTCGACTGAAGGAAAATGTTCATTAACAGGTATATATGCCAGACAAATAAAGTGCGAGTAGAGAGGGAAGTATAAATCAGAGAATACCATCTAAATAAGGCCTATGTGAAAAGAAGCAGCTTCTAATGGAATACTGATATATCATAAACGCAATCATAAACGATTTATGACATGCACCTTCCCAAATAGCATGAAAGTCATACAACATCACACTATTTGAAATGATCTGCAGGACACCCACTATTTAATTGAAATATGCATTTTTTTTGGTTTTTGTGTATAAATCAGTATAAATTGATAAAACGAAAAACAGCAGTATATCGATTTTTATAGTTATTCATATGGAATAATTACATGCAAATAAAAATTATTGCCCGGCAGTAATATTTAAAAATTATTGCCCGGCAGTAAAACCTGGGCTGAGTATGATTAAGTGGAGTCAAAACGTCATCTAGCTTTCAGTTGTCTCGCACCTACGATGGAGCTAGTTTCTCGCTTCTAAAATTTCTTTTTAAAACGAATTTCAATAATATAATTTTATATTGTTTTGGCTATTTATAAGCATTAAAATATTCAAAGCTTATGCAAGTTTAAACTGTTGGCAATAAACTTTGTCTATTTAGAAACTATGTAAAACAGCTATGAAAAATGACGGCGAAAACCAGCGAAGACTGAGGAAGTTTGATTCGGTTCGTGATTTAGGAAAGTGGGCCATCAATGCGTGTGCGTTAACACTGTTGTGTGCGGTAAATGCAAGCATAAACATACACTAATCTTAGTGAAAGTCACTATTTGCTAGCGAGAATGCGAATGACTCAGGAAAATATTCGATGAACTTGGTAGGAGAGTATTGAGAGTTCGGAGAAAATTATGAGGTATTTACATCCTTTTATAAGTTAGCGTGAATACTCTGGTCCATTTCAACATGTGTGTTGTTTAACCTGTGTACATTTGGCGGTGCTTTTGGATTTATATATGGATATTTTTGACAGTATGTAATAGGTCATTAAATGAAGCGTGCATGGACATGATATAACATTTTATACGCGATGATGTGACATGTGATACGCGATGATGTGATATGTAATATGCGGTGATGTGACATGTGATACGCGATGATGTGACATGTGATACGCGATGATGTGATATGTAATATGCGGTGATGTGACATGTGATACGCGATGATGTGACACGTGATACGCGATGATGTGACACGTGATACGCGATGATGTGACATGCGATATGAGATGATGTGACATGCGATATGAGATGATGTGATATGTGATACGCGATGCTATGACATGTGATGTGCGATGATATGAGTTGTGGAATAACTGTATGCGCTTCACATTTGGTTAATATTGTCTTGAAAACCGCGGCAGTGTGAAATATTGTATCATGTGTAGCTAAAAATTCTAATAATCTCAATTTAATCTCAAGTTAATAATCTCAGTACCAACATACGAATAAACATTGTCTGTAGATTATATCTACTCTAAATTCGATTTCTAAAAAATTTGAAAGCTTAAAGCCGTTAAATTATGCAAACCTATATAATAACATAAGCAAACAAGCATTTTTCTGTAAACAGCAGAGAACAGATTATAGATCTTTCATAAACAAAATTGAACAAGAAAATAATTATGTTTTCTTTGTCGATAAATTTTATACATTAAGATTATATGAAATAGTTTACATATCAATTCTAAGATAACCTTGTCAACAAATGTTGTAAAATCTAAGTTAGAATTAAATGATTAAGGTCTGAATGTGTTTGAAACATGAAATTTTCACGGCAATATTTCAACTCGTTCACCTCGACTTCACGTAAAGACTAAATGATCTTGTTATTCAATTGGAAAAATTAACAAGACTAAAACAATACCATTTACGCAGAACCCTTTCCTTGAAGTAATTATTTATTATTTTCGTTTGAAAAAATAATTTTAAATAGGATTTAATTAAAGTTCAAATAAAAATTAAATAACATTTTCTGCCCCATTTCCGATTGTTTTCCTACAGCATATGCGACAATATTACCAGAAAAGCAAATTCATAAATTGTCCATGAAGTGATAATTTTTTCATCTGAGTAAAACATTCATAAGTGGCAATGAAATACACGATAATTCAGCAGGTTGAACTAATTTATTACTAATAATCCTAAGAAATGTATAGGCCCTAAGTTAATTTATCACTAATAATGTAAAGAAATAATTCATACTCTAAATTATGTTGCAACTTTTTTTTTACAGAAATACTCTAAAACTTAAGCTAACTTAAAACTAATACGAAACAGAAATATTACATGCCTGAATTTGTTTATAATTTGTACTATTTTTCTATATACCATAAGTTAATTTATCATTAATGCATGATTTTCATTACACTTATATATGCTCGTTGTTTTGCAGTCATCAATTATATGGGAGAAACTGCATAACATAAGAAATTTCAGAAGAATCCTCTTCGACACGAAATTGAAATTTAATACAACATGAAATATAGGAACTATTTCATTATTTAACGAAGCAATTTGAATACTTCCTCCATGTCCGTAATAAATGTTTTTCAGATTTAAATAATTAATACTTTTAGAGTATTAAATAATAAAATTTGCAAAGTAGCATTGCAATTGTTTGGAATTTTTTATTTCGTTAAAACATTTTCACAGTTTGTATATCTATCGAGGGTTTGAGGCTGGAATTCAAGTATGTTGACCTCGAACAACATGATGCTTGGTCAACAAGTGCGAACTGTAATAATTAGACTGTAAATTGTCCAAACTCACTAATAACTATGTAGTTATTTCAATTATCGTATTTAAATGACTTAACAGAATGTAGCTTAGTAAGCATCACTACAACACAAAAAAATATACAGCGAAAAAAGGACAGTGGTCTAGAAGAAACAAATTTCAGTGACCGGTCTACAGGAAGTAAATAAGTAAAGGTTTAGAAAGTAATCAAAACATGTTTTATGGAGTATATAAATTATGCTTTGGAAAGTAATTTATCGTCACGCTCTGCCAGTGACCCAACATTCGAATAGAAAGCTATTTCCGTCTTCGCATCATTTGAAAAAGCTAGACGGCGTTTTTCGGATCTCAAAATTTCAGGCTTTGGTTCAAAATTACTCTCATAGAAAATCACGAAATACTCGTAATGCAATCTACAGATGGGAGAACCCAAAACAGGCTTGATGATCAAAATTACGTTCTCTGTTGTTTGAATTAGTAGTACGCATACCCACTACCCATGCTCTGACTTCTTTTTTTATCATTATAAAACCATTTGTGGGCACTCGAAAAGTCCAGATATCCACAGATTCACTGAGAAAACATGTTCAGTATTACGTCCTGGCGAAAAATCTTGTTATTGCTAACACACGTGTATCAATAGTATCGAAGTATTCTTCACAACTTCGTCAGTCGTAAAGTATTTCGAAATTGAAGTAGCCTCACTCTTTCAAAATTAAAAACATCGGACCACAAACACTTTAGTCGAGGTTCACTCAATGTTGAGTCGCTCGCAAGATCCCCCCTACCTTGGTGTAAAGCTCTGTCGCAGTCTGCCAGCCATCAAGTGCTGGCGGGTGCCCCGTGCATTGTACTTAAATCAGGAACTGGTCATCCTAACGCCCTTTTTCTGTAGCACGTGGTACTGCAGCTGCCACACACCTCCAGCCAGTACATGTATCCCTTTGGAAATAGAAAATAAAGGTCAACAAACCTTCAATATAAATACTTAAATCACTCATATCACAGATGGAAAATCAGTTACAAACGAAATCATGTTTGCTTTGGCGTTAATGGTACAATTAAACTTGTAAAACTTTGATCTTGCAGAGAGAGTTACGGTGGCAGTGGAGCATCAGCCGTATAGCGTTTACGCTGCCAGGGGCGTCAGCTCTTCTCTGCAATATTATTGGCGCGATTTTTACCCCTTTTTCCATGAGCAGTGAAAGGCCGGTTGACGATACAGATGAGCTTCGAGCCTCCAGGCTTTTCAGTAAACCTTCCACTCTGAAAGTCAGTCGAATGCAATCGAAATCCCGTAGTTTTAATGATCTTTCACTTTACTTTCTTCTTTCCTTTATCTCGTTACGACTGGCAAGAAAATGGCAACGCCATTTTTTACTCTACGTTCCCTTTTCAGATCTTGTAAGAGGTGATACACGATTAAGATTTCCTTATTAATATACTTTCGATGCAATTGTCATCGATTTTGTGCAATGAATGGTAATAAATCAATATAAAAGTCAAAAAATATTTTGGGAAATGATATTACTATTTTTTTAATCTTCACTCGCCAGACTGAGGATTTCAGAACTTAAAAATTTTAAAATATTTAAAATTTTTCTAATCTTAACCCACCAAACTTGAAATAACTTAAATAATATAATAATAACTTGATATAGTCTACTATAACAGCACGCATAAAGGGCTGTAATCAGTACTCTTGTCGAAACGTTTACAAGTGCAGTGGATCTCCATACCGGAAGAAGCACCGCTGCTTTGGATGCCTCAACTTATGAGTATTAGCCGTGCTTTGCCATATAGAGGTCGCAAAAAGCCGATTCCGAGAGAATTTTTCCCTTATGATGTAATTGAAATTCGACACCGGGGCGAGTTTTTGGGGCACTTGCAGCGACACCGGGGAACGTTGATTCTAATCAAATCTAATCAAATTTGTAGAACCCACCGCTTTTGAGCAGCCTTCTAGACCTGCTTTCAAATTTTTAGGCTTAAAAACTGTTTGTAACTAAGTAGTTAGTTATGTATAAGTTTCATCTCTAGAGTATAGTAATGGCACTGAATGTATTCACTGTGCAGTGTTGAATTATCCTGCTGAAATTTTAGTTCTATTTTGCCTTTTGTGGCGTGTCACGTAATTCTCGTGGTAATACATTTGCGTTATTGCTATACAAGTTAAAAATTTTGCGCGAAATTACAATCGTACATCCGTCATTATTATGTTTCATTTGTACGTTTATTGACGACTCTAGGGGACAAACATTTGGTTCCTCGTGCACTTGATTACTCGCCGCTTCACGAATTTCCTCCTCTATATCTTTGTTCAGAAAGGAGCGATCTCTTTTCAACACGTCTGATTTTCGCTCTAGAAATAATAGAAAGTTGCTCTCCAGGTCTTTGGTAATCTAAATTGATGACGTCAGCTTTTTGGCACAGAGGCTTATTGAGATTCCAATTCAAAACTCAAGTTATCGCCATCATATCGACATCTTATAGCCAGCTTTTCGTCATCTTGTTTTAATTGTGGATACTCAAGTTATATTTGAAGAATTGTTCTTCAATTTCTTCAACATTATTACTACAATCTGCTTAATGTTTCTAAATAATTTGTGACATTCCACCACAGTGTAGTTGAGAATTATATACCAGCAATTTCTCCGCACTATAAGTGCGGAGTAGACTTACTTGATTTTTAGTAGACTCTCTTCAGATCAACCTTCGCTCATGGTGACATTTATAGGCCACTCTATATAGGCTAAGCAGAAAAATGTTGACCGAATTGCCGGCAAAAAGTCGTATCTTGTCCCACATGGAACATGTTCACTATAATTTTAATATATTGAGGGCGAATGTATAGTTCCTCAAATTTTTCATCAGAACGTAAAATAACTCACGATGATTCCTCTTAAAAGATCAATATTTTAATTTGTTGAAAAATCTTCAATGCATCGAGATATATTCGGTATAACTCAAGACTTTTCTTCAGCCATGCTGCAACCTCGCCTTGGGGATCACATTCACTGAATCGTAAAGCCAAACTAGAAACAGTACGCAAAAAATTCGTCTTAATTAAATTAATCTTCTATTGGTTAGTGGTTATAGTGCATCTATTTATGAAAACGAGAAATTTTAAAGAGTTTGCTCAATAATGAAAATTTTTATTTCTTTGAACGTAATGTAGCATGATTTACTGTTTTACGTACGGTGGCATTAAATGAATTTTGGTGTCATTTTTATACCAAAGCAATAAAGCGTTTAATAAAGATTGTAGGAGGTTAAATTTGAAACGTACCGCCATGACAATAGATTATTCTACTGTTGCCACGAAAATATTGTGTTCTTCCAAAAAATAAGAAAGAAAGATTTATTGGAATTTTTTGTCCCTTCTCAGTAATTACGAATTAAATATTATAATTTCACTTATCTGATTTTTAATTTCGCGCAAAGATTTTTATTCGGGTATTAAAACGCAATCTTCGTTGGGATTTTTTTTCTATTGAGATTTCGAATAGCATTGTGACAAATGTACAGAATTGTAAGTGTTGGATTCACTATTGATATTACGTACTAAATTGATATTGAACTGTGTTGAAAAGTATTTAACGAGTACTTTACTAATAAACAATTCGCATACTGCCGGCGAAGCCCTTTATTAGTTTTGACCTTGCTACCAAAGTTATTTTGACATTTCTGAGAAATCTTACACCGAAGAATGTTTGAAACATTTTGCAGATAAATTCTTTGATAAAATAAAGTTGTTCTTGTCCTGTTATAGTAAGGTAAGACATCATAATGCGAAGACTCTTCATTTCAAATAAATGTTGCTTTCATTATATACGCGCTGAACTGGGGCTCGACATTAAGGAAGGGAAAAAAATTTTAGCTTCTCTAATGGAGTGTATTTTTTGACCATACACACTAAAATAAAGTTGCTGCTGCAAAATTCAATCTAACGAACAATATTACTGGCAAAAATTATAACAAACTAACGTCTTTACTAAAAAGTTTCATTAGTTAGGTACTAATATCATGGCAAAAAGTCCTATAAGCCAACGTCTTCACTAAAAAGTAGCCTTTATTACTAATTAACAAAGATCCTTGCATCTCGTTTCTCCATACAGATTGGATACTCCAAGTCCAAGACAGCTTACCACCATTGCAATGAGAACTACTGAAGGACTGCCCTAATGCCAATAAAGACGCGACCCCGCCGAGTTGGTACCTAGCTATGTTGGTGAGAGAGGGGGTGGTGCCGAGACCAGCAGACGGAACACCTGACTGAATCGACAATCGGTGACGATGAGGTTGGGAATCATGGTTTAGTGATGATCACGATCATGGTTTAGTGATGATCGAGTGATGTAATGTTGTATTTTTCCGATGACGGTAAGTGACATGGTAATTTGTTTGTTAAGGACTTAACAACGGGTTTGTAGAGCACATTCCAAAAGACATGGTACGGCTTTCGTACGGGCATTGGTAACAACATTACAGCGTACAAGAGTTTAGCGTTGCCTGAACTCATGTTATCTGTTATGAGGATATAAGAAGTACTGGTTAGCATCAACTCAGGGCAAACAAATTATTCCTAAATAATTTAATCATAATTAGTTTTTATACCAATATCTTTAAAAAGGCAGTTGGGACGATAACAATTATTTGAATTTTACTTAATTTAATACTTCGTACATTTAACGCACTTAATGTCCATTAATTCTACTGTTAGTAACACTCACCCTGTCGATGTGCCACTTGAGAGCTTCAAGTGCCTTTAGGGAATGAGGGTGGGGAGTGACTAGGGGTTGCGACTGGGTCTCTGTGGGGGAGAGCTCCTGGGACTGGGGGTTATGGGTGCCATTGGGTTGGGCTGCACGACAAGTTCTGCTGGGTCTGGCTGCGCGAGAAGTGCTGGCGGTAGAACGAGAAGTGGACACGGGTAAAACACAAGATGGATGGGATAAAGTGAAAGTTTCGTTTTGATTTAAGTTGTCAGAATCCGGAGCAGCCCTTTTGCGATTAGTTTTTGTCTCATCAGTCTTGGGAACCTGTAACGAGTAGGTTTTCCACCTCTGACGGTGGCTTGTTGACGGTCCATACGTGAACGTGTTTTCGGTCGTGGTTGAGTTCTTCTGTCCTTTATCGTCAGTCAAGCTGGAACATGCGCCCAAGTTTTGGCTATTTTCAGCGGCCGAGCTTTGGGATCCAAGAACGCGTGCCGCGTCCTTTGGTCGCGTGCCGGTAGACTTTGGTCGCGTGCCGGTTGACGTCTTGCTAGAGGCAATCGTTGACGATGGGACGTTACCATAGGGGCTACGTTGCACGGGTTGGAAAGCCCCAGAGGGGCCAGGCTGCACTGGTTGGGATGCTCCAGAAAGGTCATGTTCCACGGGTCGAAAAGCCCCTGAAGGGCCAGGCGGCGCTGGTTGGGATGTTCCAGAGGGATCAGGTTCCACGGGTCGAAAAGCCCCAGAAGGGCCAGGCTGCACTGGTTGGGATGCTCCAGAGGAATCAGGTTCCACGGGTCGAAAAGCCCCAGAAGGGCCAGGTGGCGCTGGTTGGGATGCCCCAGAGGGATCAGGTTCCACGGGTCGGAAAGCCCCAGAAAGGCCAGGCTGTACTGGTAGGGATGCTCCAGAGAAGTCAGATTTCACGGGTAGGAAAACCCCAGAGGAGCCAGATTGCACGGGTTCCAAAGCTTCAGAGGGGCCAGGTTGCACGGGTGTGAATACCCTAGAAGGACTAGGTTGTACGGGTGCTAAAGCCCTAGACGGGCTAGGCTGTACGGTCGCAAAAGCCCCAGAAGGGCTAGGTTGCACGTGTCGTAACGCCTCTGAGGGGCCAGGTTGCACGGGTCGGAAAGCCCCACAGGGGCCTGGTTGCATAGGTCGGAAAACCCCAGGGGGCCCAGGTTGCACGGGTTGAAAATTCCAAGAAGGGCTATATGGCGTGGGTAGGATATTCGTAGATGGGCAATCTTGCACGGGATAAAAATCCCATGAGAGGCCAGGTTGCACAGGTCGGACAGCCCCGGAAGGGCCATGTGGCACGGGTTGAAAATTCCAAGAGGGGCCAGGTTGCACGGGTAGGGAATCCCAAGATGGGCCAGGTTGCACGGGTCGGAAAGCACCAGAAGGGCCATGTGGCACGGCTTGAAAATCCCAAGAGAGGCCAGGTTGCACGGGTAGGAAATCCCAAGCTGTGCCAGATTGCACGGGTTGGAAAGCACCAGAAGGGCAATGTGGCACGGGTTGAAAATCACAAGAGGGGCTAGACGACGAGGGTAGAAAATTCCAAAAGGGGCCAGGTGGCATGGGTCGGGAAATCCCAGAGAGTCCAGGTGGCTCGGGTAAGGGCGTTCCACTCGTGTCATAAAGCGTGAGATCTGCCATGTCCTCGTCCGAGGAATCTGCAGAGACAAGATTAATTTCACAGCTCTAAAAAACGCTGTCAAACAAACAGGCAAATCAGCATTTCTAATTAGCAGTCTATTATATCTGGAAATTGTACAATGATATCATAGGATAATGGTACCTACGCGAAAATTAATCGCACAAGCTAAGATTGAGGAAGATCGGCTAAGTAAGCTAGATTCTTATCGCTGAATTCAGGGCCGTACCACACTTAGCTTCATAGCATGCTAGAATGAATCAATAGAGGATCATGAATAGATTTACGGACGTTTTTGAGAGGAATTTTTCGGTATGGAATTTGTCAGAGCGCTTTGGGTGAGCTCCCGACACTTACCGACTATCCTGACGCTGTAGTGGAAAAAGAAACTAACTAAAATTAGCGCGAACATGGAAAACATTATCAACTTGGACAATTTCAATACCACCGTAAATTCTATTGCAAGACAAAACTAGGAACAAAGATAAAAATTTTCGACTGTACTACGAACTGAAACCAATTCAAGTATTCATTAGCGCTCGCTCTGCACCTTCGACGAGTTCCTATATCGGCTTGTGAAAGATAACGGCGTCTTCAGGTATCGGCCGTATCGATGTAAATCAATTCAATTCTGCAGCTGAAGCTCAGCACTCTTTGTAGGAGAATGTCTCTAACTATGCCCTAGTGCTTCCTATTTCTAATTGAATGTATTATTCCCCTCAACCCGAACTTGCTTTTGGCTTCAGGAGTGTCAAGCGCCTCATCGTCCATTAAGGGTTATTTAGGACAAATAACCTCACAGTCAATGATGGTTTTTCCTCATTCGAGTCTTTTCGGCGAATTAAATGAATAAAGGATAAATAAATATGTCAGATGCCCACATTCACCTGGATTAACCAACGAATAAATGAGTAAGAATTTCAACCGTGGCTAAGCATCGCTATACGAAACCAAAATCTATCGGAGGGTGGGGGGTGTTTCTACGCTAACCAGAAGAAAACATCTATTCACTGAATGAAAATCCAAACAATGACTATGGTTAGTTCATATCTAATATGATTATGGTACTATAACTTCACTATTCTTTATTATCTATCAAAACAGTAATCGTATAAAACGGAAACCGAAGCGGAAATTTCAACCTATAACATTAAAGCCTTACCCGCCATTTAAAAATATATCCTGCGGCAATTCGTCAACCAGAATGTACTAAACGGAACTCTTCATATATTAATAGGCTTTCGTAAGCCTAAGGCACTCTAATAACTGCATGAATCATGTCAATAAAACTCGCGAAACACACTGCAGTTACACTGATCGAAAATATAAAACCCGGAGCAATTCCGGGACTAACCCAGATGTACCATAACAATATTATGGAAAATGATAAGAATTTATGCATTTATCAACTCTCAAATAACAATTTTAATTTTCGTCTGTAATTAATCGACATGCGATGCGATGGATGATATGTATGCGATGTTGACAGTTATAGGTACAAACGTGGCTCCTTTTTTCGCAAGTAATTCGCGCATGCAGCTATCAGCGATTTCTGGGGGCAAATTCTCACTGATTTTGTTTCAGCTGTCAACTGGTTGCGTGTCACAGATAGTCCCTCATTTTATATTGTCTCTCGTTTAGTATGACTCTTCATATTGACGTAATGTCGTTCCACAGCGAAATCACTTCGTTCCACAGCGAAGTTCACTCGAGAGGTAAATGTCTAACTTTTGCTTCCACTCAGAGCAGCGTGTGTTCTTGATCAGAGCAGCGTATGTTCTTGACTAGAGCAGCGTGTGTTCTTGATCAGAACAGCGTGTGTTCTTGACTAGAGCAGCCTGTGTTCTTGATCAGAGCAGCGTGTGTTCTTGATCAGAGCAGCGTGTGTTCTTGATCAGAGCAGCGTGTGTTCTTGATCAGAGCAGCGTGTGTTCTTGATCAGAGCAGCGTGTGTTCTTGGTCAGAGCAGCATGTGTTCTTGACCAGAGCAAGGCATGCAGGGTGTGCTTTTGACCAGAGCAGGTTTAATAAGTAATTAATGAATTTCTTGATCAGAAATTTATTCGGTTGTCACGCTTCCAAAGTCTCTTGCCACGTTTTTGTGATAATTGTTTTCACGTTTCGTGGTGGCTAAAGGTTTCTAATCTGATTTGGAAACTATTTTCCGAAAGATTTCTGTATGTTATAATTACACAGGACGCAACACTCTTTTCTTCTGTATATACAAGCAAAAAATCATCAAGATTGATATTTCTGAACAAAGAGGGATGAATTAAAACCAGGAGTAAAGCAGATTAAAAATCGACGTTTAATAAATATTAGATATCTATTTTATAGGGTAATCCACGATATTATTGTATCTATTGAAGAATCTAGATAAATAATATCTTATTAACATGATGCCGCAGAAACAGACTGGAATTATTTATCAACGTTCAATTTGTGGATTAAGAAAATTGTATAACAAGAAAGTTACTACCAAATTCTATAATTATCGTCTTTGATTGTCACATATAAATGCAAAAGCATTATTCTAGGCAAAATTTGACATAAAAGTATTATTCTATATTTCTTTAATCGTCGTTCAATTTCGTTTAAATCTATTTTTTTAGCTTGCAGAGAAAATGCAGCCAATTATTTTATATTGTCAATGTTTTCTCGCATGTCGGTCTCGTCATGATATATTCGGGCACGAAACCCTTAGTCGATTTAACGTTAATATGTTAAAAAAATCGTTCGATTGTGTTTGTAAATATTAATACTACACGGTCCATTATAACACGGGCATGTGGACATTATAACAGGGTCCAAAGAGAGGTCCGTATGATATAACTTGGAATGCGGGATTTTTTTACTAAATGTTCCGTATGAAGAGAGGTCGCATTTTGGTATTAAAAATACGGTGCAAAAGAGAGGAAACTTGTGAGCATTAATTACAAGGTTCAGGAAGAGGTCCGTATGAAGAAATTTGTTATGAAGGCACTGGTTGCATTCCGTGCATACGGATGAAGTATGCGAGGCTGATATGCGTATTATGCGTATTACTAATGCGTGATGCATTAGTAGAAACCTCCACGAGGAGGTCCGTAGGAGTTGGAGGGGTACGCAGGCTTGTCAACATACTTTGTTTTGTACACAATCTGGGGCTGGACTACAGTAGAGTACACAGGCTGGTACTGGGTTTCCGTTACATACTGGGGCTTGAACTGGGTGATGTACTCTGTAGCGTACTGGGTTTGTGTTACATACTGGGCCTGGTACTGGGTCTCGGTGATGTACTGGGTGTCATACTGGGTCTGGGTGACATATCTGTCAACGTACTGGGTTTCAGTCACGTATTGAGGTACGTATTCTGGTACTACTTGGGTACTGTAGATAGTCTGGTACTGAGTTTGGTAGAAGGTGGTAGGTATGTACTCTGGCTTGAACACCGTTGAGTAAACAGGAACCTGGGTAAGAGAAATTAGAACGTGAGTTACAATAAGATACATAGTTAAAATTCAAACATAAATAAAATCATGTTTGTGTTACATCTCTTTAGTTATCATAGCAAGAATTCAATACCGTATTCATAAATTGTATATTATGGTTTGGGACAACATGAACACATAGTGTAAATATAAAAATGCGCACCATATCGATAAACTATCGGTATCGGTAATTATTCTAAATGTTGTTTCACATTTCTGTGCAATATTAAAAAAATACGGTTCTCACTAATATTAATAGACCTTCATGGTGCCCGTGTCATTATTTAGCTAATTATTCTAATATGCCAACTACCTTCACTCATCAACCGAGTGTAAATTGAAATGGAATATTTACAGTAAGACAACGCGGCTGTTAACGAACATTTTTTTAGAACAATGTTTAATTCATCTGATTATAGCCAAACATTTGGCTAACTTGAATCTTAATTGCCATGAGATTGCAAATTTGTATGCGAATTTTAATTAAAAGCGATTTATGGCATTCATTTCCGCATGAAAATTACGCTCATTCACATTATCAATATGAAAATTTACTCTGTACTGTATTTCATTGTGCCAAAAGAGATATTCAATCACCATAAAATAAAAAAGCACTGTAATAAGTTTGTAATTTTCAATACCCAGGACTGCCTCATTGAGGATCGCTAATTTAAAGAATTCATATTTTTTTATTGGATAAGCGAATTCGTTCATTTTAACTTCAAAGTAACAGAAAGTCTGACAGAAAATTTTTAATTGAGCCGTTAGATAATTTCGTTGTCAGTATTTCATGCTCTTATTCAACTATCCCTGCAGGATAATTTTCTATGTTGAAAGAAAACGTGATATAAATTTTTTCCTCTAAAGGGGAGACTTTGCTATCTACAATTATAGAACCGCTTCGACGCTTCCCGATTGCATACAGCATACATTGTATCCGATAAATAATAAAATTTACACATATGTGCAATGCAATACATTATGGACAAATTAAATTAAAGTGAGACATTCATCAGTGAATTTAGATTGAACTTGAATTGTCGTGAAATAATTTTTTATTTATCCACAAAATTGCGTTCGATAATAGTTAATGCAAACTTTCGAAAACAAAGTGTGATTCGATGTTAGCAAAGAAACTATCTTTTGGTTCAATTCTAGGTATGAGTATCTCGTATGAGTATGAGATAAAATAAATTTTATCTTACCTGTTGGATTTGCGTTTGGTAGTGCGTTTTGAAGACAGTCTTAGGATAACATGGTTCAGGTGCATCGTAGACTGGTGCAGGGGGACCATACACGGGGGCGGGGGGACCTGAGGGGGGCCGTACGCGGGAGCGGGAGGGGGACCGTAGCGCTGGGGGGTAGCGCTCCCGGACGCGAGGGCTACCAGAGCCGCGAAGAGGGTAAGAGTCATCATCTGAGGGTAGAAAGTAATTAACTGGCGATTTATTCCATAGATAATTAATTACATTTGACAATGAATTACCTGTTTATTGGTTAGTTAATCAATCGTAGATTTAATGGAATTGTTAATTGACATAGTTATTCAAACTCGGAAAATATAAATGACTGCCTGTTTAAATTGTAGTTGACCACATTTGCACATATAATTAACTTCCCATTTATTGATTAGTTAATCATACTTTGGATGCGTCAGGAACTTCGATTGTTAATTTTTCTATGAGACTATGAATTTTTTATGTTATTGACATTTTATGGAACGTTTTGAAAGAAAGGACATTCCATTGAAAGAAAAATTAACTTTCGAGGCACAATATAAATCAAGAATTTTTTATCTGCTCATCGGTTGTAAATTGAAGATACAAATTTTGAGGTCTCACCGAGTTCTGAAAAGTATGATTTTTCGATCTACCTCTTTATCGATGCCGATTTCTTATTTGTACACTTGACTGCTCAATCGCACTTATTCATAAGGTACCCTTCAATAAACTCAGTAAAAATAAAACATGTTCAAAATTAATAAGTCTTACGAGCAAAGAAATTTTTTGGCTATAAAATTACCGAGCAGAATAAGAATGGAGTTAGCATAGAGAACTTCAGTCGGACTGATTTTTTTCAGTAGGATCGATTTTTTTTCCACTTGGCATCGTTGCTATGACAGAAAAATTTCATGATTCGAAGAATCCAATTGATGGTGAACGTATACTCACGGATTCTGAATCCCACATTGACTAATGTTGAGCGTACACATTAGAAATAATTAATTTTGTACTACAAAATGTGAATAAACGCCAAAACTAATAGTTTTATTTTCGACAAGTGTATCATTCTAATCAGAATTGTCTTTAAATGAAGTTTAAACTTCTACCCTAACTCCCGTATGATTGTATAATTTAACAAAGCAATAAGATTTATCGAGAAACTTTTTACATTTACGCTAAAATCGATGATTTTTTCATTTGGCAAGGAAGAATAGATATGACGGTATCAGAAACTTTTTGAATTTGCTATTCTTTCGGATTCATGATATTTCATAGTTCTTCTATAGTGAATTTCTGTCAATGCTTGATGCTAAATAGTATAAAAATATAAGACTAAGTGAATTCTTAATATTTCTATAATAAGCAACACTGAAGAATGGGCCCTGCAATCAAGAATAACTCATCCGTTATTTGCTTCTGAGAGCGACAAGTTAGGCTTATCCTGACAGGGCTGTCCACGCGTACCTTGCGGGGCGTATGTGTCTTTGAACGCTGCAGGGGAGAGAATGAGGAGCTCACTGGAAATGTGGCGCCTTATAAGGCGGCGAGTTGCCTCTTCGTGGCCAACCGCACGCAGTTGCCAGAGGTCTCCACGCAGGATAAATGATTCTAATT